TCTCACTGTGTAACCCAGGCTGGAGTGCAATGGTGCGATCTTGGCTTGCTCCAACTCTGCCTCCCGGATTCAAGCAATCCTTTTGCCTCAGCCTCCTGAGTAGCTGGGATCACAGGCACCTGCCACCACACCTGGCTAAGTTTTGTATTTTTAGTGGAGACGGGGTTTCACCATGTTGGCCAGGCTGGCCTTGAACTCCTGATCTCAAATGACCCGCCCGCTTTGGCCTCCCAAAGTGCTGGGAAGGATGTTTTATTTTCTAGAACAGCATACCATTGTTTATTAATAATAAAGTCCTCAGTTTCTGTAAAGTTCATGGAAATGACTTCTGTTCAGTTTTTTTTTAAGCAAATAAACCAAAGATGATAGTTTATTGTGCTATAAGATGTTGGCTGGTTTCATATCTAACCCAACAATCATATCCCAACATTCCTTTATTAAATTGCCTATAAATCCCCGTCTCCTCAATTGTTCTTGGAACCAGCATGACCATCTGGCTGAGTTGAATACAATATTTGACTTGTGAACATTCTAATTTGTATGAACTGTGTTTTTAATTTGTTTGAAATCCCTCCCAGGCTGGAGGGAGAGGCCCGTATTCCACCCCAGAACAGTGCCTAGAGCCCCAGTCCCTTCTCCATTTCACTCCAGCCTGGGCAACAGAGAGAAACTCCATCTCAAAAATAAATAAATAAATAAATAAAATAAACCAAACTGGAGAATTCAGGAGTGCCTCCTCTCTGATATCCTTGTCTCTGCTGGGAGCACGATGCATTTAAACTATACAGGTCAAACTCTTGGTACAGAAACCCTAGCACCAGTGTCACGCCCCAAAGCAATGCAACCTCTTATTGAATAATCACTCTGGTTTAACAAATCATCCACACTTCCTTGTGGCATACTTTACAGGAGAACGGGACGGGACTGGTGAGTTTTGACAGGGAATTGAAAGGGCCTTTGTGGAGCAGAAGACCAGAAGGACAGGCTATGCTGGTATCCATTATTCTTTAGATTTCCAGTTTTCTCAAATTCAACTCATCCAGTTGGGCGCGGTGGCTCATGCCTGTAATCCCAACACTTTGGGAGGCCAAGATGGGCAGATCACCTGAGGTCAGGAGTTCGAGACCAGCCTAACCAACATGGAGAAACCCCGTCTCTACTAAAAATACAAAAGTAGCCAGATGTGGTGGCACATACCTGAAATCCCAGCTACTCAGAAGACTGAGGCAGGAGAATTGCTTGAACCTGAATGGCGGAGGTTGCGGTGAGCCGAGATGGCGCCATTGCACTCCAACCTGGGCAACATGAATGAGACTCTGTCTCAAAAAAAAAAAAAAATTAAACTCATCCTAGGTAAGGTCTTAGTGTACATCACAGAGCATGTCAGGCTTCCCCTAAAAAGGGTGGGGCCAAGGGAGTTCAGGTGACTCCTCAGGCAGACCCCAAACCTGTAATCCTTTGTTTTTAAAAAAAAAAACACTTGGAAAATTCATCCAACCTGGTGGGGTAGGAAGGAGGGGAGCCCATCTCAGCCATCAGCATCAGGAAGTGGCTATGCTGGGAAGTTGGAGATGGGTCTGAAAATGAGGGCAGTGCTGCAGGCAGATAGTGACCCTCCCGCACCTGCCCTCTGTAGAGTGTGCATTTGAGACTGGAAGGAGGACAGGAATGCCTCTTTCACCTCCTTCACCTCCCAGTTCCTGAGTGGCCTCAACTTCATCCTGATCCACCGCTGTCACTGCCTCCCAAAGAATTTCCTGGTCACCAATGCAATGATGGTCCCTGAGCTGGACTCTGGGACCAGTCTGCAGGCTGAGCAGGCGCCAGTGGAGGCAGGGCATTGTTCTGAGATAGCGAGGGCGGGGCTAGGTGAGAAATGTGCTCTCTCCTGCTATTTAGCCAGGCGCCACGCATTTCAAGGTAGGGAGGAGCCCTCCTCTCAGTGCCCATAGCTGTGGGAGGCCCGGGCTGCCTGATCTGACCTCTGACTCCAGCTCCCCTCTGCTGCACACTTCCCCTTTCTGCTGTACCTTCCACATCAGCATCCAGTCCATACTGGGCTCTTTGTACCAGGGAAACTCATCTACCAGGTCAAGGCCCTGAAGGCCTGGGATCTTGGGGTGAGCAGAGAGGGCCAGGGGAGGCCTGAGATTTGGTCCAGAGCCCCTGCTCACAGCAGGAGTGAGCTCTCTGCTCATTACAGTTGACATCGTTGAGACAGGTGGGCTGCCTGGAGCTGATCACCAAAGGGCTGGCAGCTGCCACCTACCACTCCCTCTACCTGTCCCACCAGCTGGCTGACCTCAAGCTCCAGGACCTCCCCCACTACTCCAGATCTGGGCAGCCATAGAAAGGGGACACTCCCCTGGGGCCTGAGGGCTCCAAGCCGCTCACCCTTGGCTATACCCCTGTTGGTTTCTTCAGCCTTCCTCCAGCCTCCTGCCCAAACACACTGCTGCTGCCTCCAAGCCCTTCCTGCTTATACTCTTCATCTTTCCCAGCTGTGTGACCTTGGGCAAGTTATTTAACCTCTCTGTGCCTGTTTCTTCATCTGACAATGGAAGTAATAAGAGCACCTGTGGTATAGTTTATTATTCTTATTAAATGCAAAGCCCTAAGAACAAACACCAGCGCACAGAAAGTGCTCTCTGAACATTAGCTATTAAAATTATTATTCGCCCCAGAAAGTCACTGTGTCTCCGGGTTTTTCCAAGGTAATCTTCCTCACAGGAGAATTCCTTGGGATGTAGCTGTGGCCTCCATGCCAATGGCCAGATCCTCTTGACATCTGGCCTCCTGTGGGTTCCCAGCTCCCGCCACAAGCCGGCATAATGGCCTCCCTCCAGTACTGAGGTTGACGACAGAGCCACTGCCCATTAGCCTCCAGTGGCTCCCAGTTGCTCACCACATGCAATTTTGTCTCCCCTGCAGCAGCTCAGCCCCTCTGGAATCTGCCCCGATTTCCATTCTTCCACCTCAGCACACCCTCGGCCTAGGGAGACAAGGCACCCTAATTTCTCTCTCTCTCCCAATTCAAACTCTGCCCCTGCTTCAAGCCCAACTTATGTCTCGCCTCCCCCTTGAAGTCCTCAGGGACTCCTCCTACATGAACATCTGCAGCAGGTGCTCTTCCTCAGCAGTAGGTCTGCATGCCCTCCTACAGCTGGGGGTGGAGGACCCTTTGGGAACCAGTGGAGAAAATGAACCAATCAGATGGTCCCAACACAGATGGGCTTGGTGTCTCATCCTTCCCTGTGGTTTGGAATCCAAATGCCTGCAGGCCAGTGAGCAGACAAAAGCTAAGGAAGAAGAATGGGCAGGGACTGTGGCCCGTGGGGACCTCATGTGTGTCTGATGGGGACACTGGTGACCCAGCTATCACTGTGACCAGATCTTCAGATTTTTCAGCAGAAACCAGACATCTAATATTTAAATGTTGGCAAGTGATTCAACTTGAAAAACAAACAGAGAAACCTTGCCAGCTGATCAAACCACATCTACAGATCAATCATGGCCCTCGGGCCTTGGTTTGCACACCCTGGTAAAGATCGCAGCCTCCCAGTTTGAAACTCTCTTCTGCAGTTCACTCTGTGGTCGGCCACCTTCCTTCCTTGGCCTCAGTTTCCTCTTTTGTAAGCAGCTGGTCTCAGTGGCCCCTTCCAACCCACACCCCCGTGCAGCGTTGGCTCCGAAGAGTTAGTCACCATGTGTTCCCAAATCCCCGGCTTTGGGAACCGATATTGTTAACATCTGCTACCCGGATGACACACGGTGAACAGGGACTTGGAGCTCCAGGCCTGGGTCACGGAGGTCTTCCCGGAGGGTTTTCCAAGCCGAATGCTCTAAGGGGATGTGTCCACTGCCCCTGGGCAGCAGCCCCTTGGGTCTCAGCTCTGTTCTCTCTACCCTACTCCCATCTAGGGGTCCCCTCCACCCTGGGCCACTGTGCTGTGTTCATTGGTGTTTCACCATGATCATCTTCACCTGCTCAGCCCAACAGGCTGCCATCAACAGTGGCCAGGTGAGCCAGTGCCAGACCCAGGAGACAACAATGATTATGGGAGGAGCAGACCTAGCAGCACTGGCAGCTCTGTACTGAGTTCATGGGGTAGGTCTGAATTCAGCGCCTGGATGCCCAATATTCCTACTACCATGTGGCTTGCCCTGCCCACCACCAAGAGCCAGACAGAACTAGCAGGCCCACTCCCTGAGGTCAAGGCTACATGCCACGGCCTGGTGCTCCTCTGGGGGGGGGTCAGCAATGAAACCAAGGACACTGTAAGCAAGGCCCAAGTGTGGGTGGCTGGGGCCTCAGCTTCTAGAAGAGTCGGTACAATGGCTACTAGGAGGGCGCACTTAGCTTAGCAGGCTGAGCTCCTAGGTGGCAGGGCTTGCAGCCACTAGGTTGCCGGTGGGTGTGGTTTGGGGTGGTGTGGATTCCTAGTAGGTGGAGCTTAGAGTGGTCTGGGCTTCAGAGTGAGACGGGCTTGGGGTGGTCTGTGTTTCTTGTGGCCCACAGGCTTTTGTCTAGGTGGGGTGGTTTATGTCTCAAGTTGGATGGTTCTGGAGTGGTCCAGGACCCCTAGGTGGGCTGGGACTGGGTGGACTAAGTCTCCAGGTAGGTAGAGTTAAAATAGAACGGAATCGCTGTGGGCTGAAAATGCAGCCGGCAGAGGTCCCAGCCTTTCCTCCTGCCTGTCTGGACACCTACCCAGAGGAGGCCCCGCCAGGGAGCATCGCCGCCTTCTAGAGTCCCCTGGCCCAGATCTCTGGGGACGTCCTGGAGTGGAACCGGGGCCTGGCGCTGCCCTGCTCCTACCTGGATGCCGCAACCGCGGAGAACCGGCGGTGAGAGCACGTGGCATGCACAGCCTGCATCGCACCCTGCGGCGCCAGCCCTGCCACCAGCGCTCCAATAACTTGCCGTGCACACTCAAGACCCAGGGAAAGGAAATATTTTGTTTTGTTTTGTTTTGTGGGTTTTTTTGGTATGTTTTTTATTTTTGGGGGGTGTTTTGGTTTTTTCGTTTTTTGTAGTTATTTTGAAAATAGGAGGGCACAGTGTGGGGAGAGGCGAGACGGGAAGGGCAATCCTAAATGGAAATGCTGTTCTCAATCAGCACCGGGTCCAGGTAGTAGTAGGGGATGGGGAGGCACTTGTTGCGCTGGCGGATGGCGTGCGAGATCTGGTTCAGACGCTGGCGGAATGCCTCTATGCTCCTCCGCGGGGCCTCCTCCACGAAGTGGATATCTGGGAAGTGGCCCAGGGGGCGCTGCGGGCAGAGAGCTCGGCAGCTGGGACCAGAGCCGGACAGCACCCCCTCCTCCTGCTGGTGGCCCTGGTCCCTCCACCCTTTGGCTTCAGTGGCCTCTCACTCTGTTCTCCCCCCTTGACATCCCCCCCCCAGTTATCCTGCCCCCTCCCTCCCCGGCTCCTGGCCCCATCTCTCACCCTGTCATCAGGCTCCCGGCTGAGGGTCCAGAGCACCAGCAGCGTGATGCACGTCGTCTTCACGTCCGGCAACGTGTCCATGAAGGTCTCCAGAGTGGTCAGCCCCTTCGCCTGCATCGGTGGATTCCGCATGGATGCTGGGAAGTTGGGCATCCAGGCGGTGAACTCCATCTGGAGATAGGGTAGAAGTGCGGGTCTGGGTGGAAGAGCACCCCAGGAGTTTCGTTCTGCCAGGCCCTCACCACCCTCCCTCCCCTCGCTGCCTTGGACTCCCTGCCCTTGGCGCTGAGGCTGGGCTGGGTTGGTTAGACTGGGGCTGGGGCTGGGTGTGGGGCTGGGGTTTCCTTGAGATGAGGCCAGAGGCTAGGGCTGAGAGTTGGGTCTGAGGCTTGGTTTCCGTTGGGACTGGAGTTGAAGCTGAGACTCGGGCTGAGACAAGTTGAGGCTGGACCAGGGATTATTGCTGAGGTTGGGTTTGAGATTGGGGCACAGACTAGGAGGTCGGGACCTGGGGCTGGGCCTGGGCTGGTGAGGGCACCGGTACCTGGCCTGTGTTGACAGCAGCGTGCTTAGCAGAGCAGGTGTAGATGACTATGGTGACATATCGGATCAGCTCAGGCACGGTTCGCAAGCACGTGGGGAAGCCTGACAGGCAGGGGAAAGGCGCAGGCGGCGTCAGTCCTGCCCTGGCCCTGGATGCCCGGCAGAGGGCGCCACCATGCCCCTCTCTCCTCGTTTTGCAAAAGCTCCAAGCTGCGGCATCCCTACCCTCATCCTGCCTGCGTGACCCTCCTGTGGCTGCAACCTCATCGCCCGTAATCCAGATCATAAGGCTGTGGACAGAGGGTGACAGGCCCTGGCCAGAAGTCCTCCAGGGCTGCTCCTGGCCCCTGCCTAATGTGTGGCCCTCAGATCTCTCTCCCAATTTCCCTGGGGGTGCCTCTCTGGTCCAAGGTCAGGGGCTGTTGGGAGAGGCAGGAGGCTTTCTTCCGTTCCTCGGTTCCTTCGGAAGAGTCCTGCCCTGAATCAATCCAGCCCACACCATCCACTCCCTCCCATCGCTGCCTTCAGGACTCTGCCCACTCCAGATGGATTTCTCCATCTCACCTCTCTTCCCTACCAACTGCTGGTTTCTCTTTCCTGTTGCCCCGTGTGAACCTCAGGTTGCTTCTCTTTCCTATTGTACTGTGTGTCCTGGTTGCCATGGTGATCTCAGGTTCCAAAAGTCCCACACATTCAAACCAGACCCATCATCTTCCTCCCTAACTTCTCCTCCTTTCAGCCCCCAGCTCAACAGATGACATACATCAACTTAACCAGTTGCAAAAGCCCAAAACCCGTAGTCGCCCTTGGCCCCCCCTCCCCTCACCTGCCCCTCACCACCAAACCCAAACTGTCACCCAGTCCCAGTCCCATCATTTCTAGCCCTGGAATTCTCTGTGGTGTCCCCACAGTCCTCAACCTAGTCAGGTCCCCAGTCTTCCCTCCTGGACACCACAACAGCTTCCCTGTTTGCTGGCTGCCAGCGCAGCCTGATAATCTGGCATACAAGTCTGATCTCCTTGTAAAACCCTCGATGGCTCCCTCTGGCCCTTAACCAAGCCTGGCTGCTGCTCACAGCCTCAGCCTTAGCCCATTGGGAACCTCCTCCCCTCCCACACTAAGTCAGTTGCAGAGAACCTGACTGCAGTAAGCAGCTCTCAGAAGTCCCTATGCTCTCCAGGTTTCTCCCATGCAGAATTCTCCATCCCCATCCTCTGTCATCTCAAGGCTAGCCTCTCATCCTGCAGATCTTAGCTAGATGTTAGCCAAGAAGTGAGATCTCAGCTAGATCTTAGCTTGCTCCTCCTGCCCTATCTTCTCTCCACTACCCCATCCCAAGATGGGTTAGTCACCTTCCCTGGGCTTCCCCACAACTTACTTTATGGAAATACCAGCCACCCTAGACTGTGAACCCCTTGAGGGCAGGCATCTTCACCGCCTGTCCTGTTCCCTTTTGCCTCCTCAGTAACCGGTACAGTGTTGGGTTGTGGAGGCTCACTGGATATTCGCTGGATGTGTACCCAGGCGGCGGGACCTCACCCCTCTCCTGGTGCTGCCAGCTCCCCCCTGCCAGCTCCCTGGCCTCCCACCCTTTCCTGTTGGAGCTCACACCCCATTTCACAATCCACAAAGATTTGTTTCTGAGGTGGGGCTGGGACCCCTCCAGGTCTCTGCAGAGATGACCCACAGCCCTTAATCTCAGATAGGGACCCTTGGCCAGCCATGTTTTCTTCCCCACCCTCTCTAAGGTGCCACTGCCCCAGAGGCCAGAGAAGAGCCCTTCCAAAATCCCAGGGCAGCAATTTGGTCTCCTTTAGTCCACAGTAAAATATGTTCTGATCCAGACCAGGAGGGCCGTAGCTGACCTGCCTGGGGGCTGCCCCTCAGCCCCAGCTCCCCCTGGTTGCCCATATGCCCAGGCCCATACCTGAGCTCTCACGCCCTAGAAGGCACTCCTTAAATATCTCCTGCACCCAGGACTGCAATTCTGGGTCACCCTCCACGGCTGCGTCACACGGGTAATAATAGGTGATCATCTCCGTCACATACCTGACCAGGGGACAGGGCCTCAGTTTGGATCCTCCCCTCCTGCCCCTCAGCCAGGCTTCTCCCACCTCCCCCAGGGTGCCCTGGCCTCGGTTGGCCCCAGAGCTGCCCCAGGCCTGTGGGAGGGCAAGTCCTGTGGGGCAGAAGTGGAGAGGGTGGCTTGGCAAGGCCAGAACGCACCCAGAGCACTCCCTTATAAGGGCTGGGCAAAGCCTACAGGCAGCTCAGATCCCAGAAGGGGTCTGGGCAACAGAGGTGGGCTGGGGACCCAAGCAACAAAGGGGCCTGCTGGGCTGAGGGTGCAGGTGTAATGGACACACAGACCCCAGGCCCCTTCCCCAAGCACAAGCCTATGGATGACACCAGACCCATACTCAGGTCCCCAGAAGCTTCCTACACCCTCTCCAACACCCCAGGGTGTCCACCCTGAGAGCCACCCACTGGTGTCCCGAGCTCACCTCTCCAGCGCATTCCACACTGCCAAGCTGTCGTCGCGGTAGTAATATCCAGGCAGGTCCTGGACCCCACGCTCCACAAAGTCATTGGGGAGGTAGAGGCTGTCATAGGTGAGCTCCGACAGAGCCCGCACCATCACCCCAGCAAAGCCCTCCACTCCCAGAGACATGCCCTGTGAGGGAGGAGGCAGATACTGGAGCCAGAAAGGCATCCCTGGCACTCCCCGCAGGTCCCCTATGATCTCAATAAGTGCCCCCCAAGCCAGCCAACCCCACCTCCAGGAACTCTCCTGCTCTGGGCAGCACCCCAGCCCTGCCCTGCTCCTTTCTGGACAGGAGAACCCACTTCATCCAGTTCCCTCCCTCCATGCCCCCTCACGATGACCCAAAGGCAAGTGAAAGGTCCTGGTGTTTGTCCATCTGCAAAGGCCAGAGGAAAGCAAGCGTCTTGTTGGGGATGGGGGCGGAGTCTTACCTTGGCAGAGAGCCCCCCCTCATTGAGGAGAACAGCCCGGCCAATGCTGTTGATCTGGACAGTGTATCGGATATGGGGGATGAGGAGCTGTGGGAAGGACAAGGAGGATGAAGAGAGAGGGCTGCAGTGGCACCCAAAGAAGCTGAGCACCCCACTTCCACAACATCAGACCTGCTCACTCTGGGAAGTCCCCACGCCAAGCCCTCTCTTACTAGAGCCTGACTGCTCAGTGGGCTGGGGGCCTTTCTGAGGCCAGGTGAGGGCCATGACGCCTGGGGGAGGCCCCTCCCCCCAAGCCCATACCTTGTAGAGGGGGTGGCACATGGGCAGGTTCCTCAGCATGGCCAGGCCGAAGGCCTCGGCAATGAGGTGGGTCTCCAGTAGGTGGGCAATGGCCTCGTGGCTGTAGAACTCCGCATAGCGCACCCATGTCTTGGCCAGCAGCCAGTCCCACTCAGAATCGCTGGGCAGGAAGATGGGGCAATCCGGCCCAGGGGTTTGGCTGAGCTAGGGGTGGTGAAAGAGGGAGGGTTAGGTGAGGGCAGGACCCACACACAGAAAGGCCCCACTGTAGGGAGGAGGCAGAATTGAGTCTGAGAAGGTGAAAACCCTCCCACACTCCAGTCCCATTGGTCCCCTGAGTACCCCTGGCCCTTTCTTCCCTCCCCACGTTTGATCTTGCTGTTCACTCTGCCTGACTTCAGTACCTTCCCCTTGTCCGGTCTCTACCTGGAAGCCCCCCCTTATTCTTCCAGAACCATCTCACAAGCTGCCTCCTCTGGCAAGCCTTCCTTACTCCAACCCCACCTCCACCAAACTCAGGAGTGCAGGTTGCGCACTGCACAAGGGTTCCCAGCCCCTCAAGGAGCAGGCAGATCACTGAAATCAGCCTACACTCTTACACTAAGGAACCAGGACCATCAGGCTCTGGGGCTCTGGCCCATCCACCCAGAGGGAGCCTCTTTCTAACTTGTACATGACCCTTGGGGGACTCCTGGGAAGGAAGCACCTAGTTCCTTCCTCTGCCAGACCAGATTCCCAAGGCAGCAGCCAGGTCTAATTAGCTCAGCATTTCCAGTATGGCCCCAATCAGGGATTGGTTTTCCAAGTGGATGGATGGATGAAGTAAAAGAGACTAGCACACTCCACAGACACACATACGTGCTCACACTCACAGATGCACACACATAGGGCATACAAGTGCAGCCAGCCCTTCGTATCCATGGGCTCCACACCGTGGATTCCACAACAGATGGAAAATACTCTAGGGAAATAAACTGTCTCTACTGAACATGTGCAGAGTTTTTCCCCTAAACAATACAGTATGACAACTATACATAGCATTTACATTGTATTCTATTGGGTACTATAAGTAATCTAGAGAGGATTTATTTTATTTTATTTTATATTTTATTTTATTTTATATTTTATTGAAACAAGATCTCATTCTGTCGCCCAGGCTGAACTGCAGTGGCATGACTTCAGCTAACTGCAACCTCGGCTTCCTGGGTTCAAACGATTCTCCTGCCTTAGCCTCCTGAATAGCTGAGACTACAGGCACTCCCCACCACCCCTGGCTAATTTTTGTAGTTTTACTAAAGATAGGGTTTCCCAATGTTGGCCAGGTCTCGAACTCCTGACCTCAAGTAATCCGCCTACCTCAGCCTCCCAAAGTGCTGGGATTAACAGGCGTGAGCCACCGCACCCGGCCTAGAGAGGATTTAAAATACACAAGCGGGCCGGTGGAGGTGGCTCACACCTGTAGTCCCAGTACTTTGGGAGGGTGAGGTGGGAGCATCGCTTGAGCCCAGGAATGCAAGATGGAAGAAAGCATAGCGCTCCTTGTGTACATGCAGCAGCAAGAGCTCACCCAGCTCCGCTCACCAGCGCACCTTGCACTTCTGTACCTGAGGGGACCAAGATAGCAAGCAGGTGAGAGGCGGGAAGCTGCCGAGACGGTCCTTGCATCTTGCAAGGTGCATCTACACCTAAGCCTATTCGAACACACAAACCTGATCTGCTGCCAGCCCACACCGGGCTTTTCTATGAATTAGAAAAAGGTGCCCGGGTTGGGCGCGGTGGCTCACACCTGGAACCCCAACACACAAGAAGATGTGTGTAAGTTATATGTAAACACTGGAACATTTTATATAAGAAACTTGAACATCTGCAGATTTTGGCAAGGGGGGGCGGTCCTGGAACCCATCTCTCAAGGATACCGAGAGACGGCTGAATACACACAGGTCCACACGCTCACATAAGCGCGCGCACACTCGGAGGAACATTCGCGCACACAGAGGCTCAGCGGCAGCGCCGCCTGCGGCCCAGGCACCTGGATGGCGATGGGCATCATCTTGCCCTCGGGCCCGAAGTGCAGCAGGCAGAGGGGGGCGCAGTGGTGCTGCTTCCGGCCGCTGAGCTCGACGGTGGGGAAGCCCTCCATGATGCGGTAGTCGGCCAGGTAAATGTTCCCCTTCTGGAGGGGAGCCGCTGTGGGTGGCTAGTAGGCAACCACACGGGGCGCCCAGGGGCAGGGGTGGGACGGGAACGCGGGGCGCGGGGCGCTGGGTGCGGGTGTGGCTGGGACTGGCGCAGGCGCTGGAGGTGGAGAGAGACCGGGATGCCCGCGAGGGAGGCCGGGAGGGGGGCCGGGGTCTCCGCCCGAGAGGGCCTCACCTCCAGCTCCGCTTGCAAGCACGTTCCCTCGCCCAGGAATGGGGCCACCATGTCGTCTGTGACGGGGAACTTGTCTGGGATCCGCGTGCAGCGGCGGATCAGGCCTGGGTTGACGCCGTTGAGGTACTGGTACCCAAAGAAGGTGTCCTCGGCCCAGTGCTCTGCCACGTACTCTGTGGGGACGGAACGAGGGCGTCACGAGGCGGCCCGGCCCCCCTCGGGGACGGAGAGGCATGGGACAGAAGAAGAGCGCGGGCACCGAGAGGACTCGGGGAGGAAAACAAATCCCCCAGCCTTGAGCTGAGCGGCCAGAGGAGCCCGGGGCGACGTTTTCCCAGAAGCCGCCAGAGGGCGCGCGCGCCTCGCTGCCTCTCGCGTCCCACACGCCCGGGACCACCTGGCTCCCTCTGCTCGATCTGGCACACCCCATTCCATACCAGCGACAACAGACTTCTTGCCAGGGAAAATTTTCTTAATATCCTTCAGTCTCTTCCACGAATGTTTGCAGTCCAACAGGCCGCGGACTTTGAAAGCCAGTGCCCTAGGAGATGGGATTCCAGGGAGAGGCTGTCACCCAAGGATCAGCTGGGGCTAGTGGCAGGGCCGCCCCACCCACTTAGGTCTCTGGGCCTCAGGGTCTGTGCGTCTCAAAGTCTCTGGGTCCCAGGGCTCAAGATCTTTGCATCTCTACGTCCCTGGGATCATGTCTTGGGTTTTCTGGGTCTGCATGTCAGCTCCCTCTGCCTTCCTGACCATTCCAACCCCTGGGACTGTCTTGGAGGCCACCATGGTGGTGGGAGAGGGACAGTCCTGGCAGGAGCCCTCGTCACTCACACACACTCACATGGGCCCCAGGCGGGTGAAGAAGGAGGCTGTCTTGAGGAAGGAGTAGCGGAGATTTAAGTTTAGGAACTTGGTGGCCTTAAAGTTGATAAGAATTGGAAATCCTGGAATATAACCATTCCACCTGTGGGGAGAAGCGCATAGCAGCTGGGATCCAGGGGGCAGGGAGGAGGCAGGCACCCAGGCAGAAGCCATGGGAAGGGCCCAGCACAGCTTCAGGTCCTTACTCTGGCCGGTTTCGGTTGCGATGCCTTCGGACCGGAGGACGGTAACTGGGAATGTGCACATAGTTGGGCAGGCCAGGAACAAAGACCTGCCAGCTGCAAGGGAAGCCCAGATGTGCCCCTGATGCCCGTGCACCACCCCAGGGCAGAGGGCCAGAGCCATCACTGCCCCCACCTCCCTGGACCCCTGCAGGGCCCCAGAGTCTGTCACCCGCCCCCTCACTGGTAGAAGTCCTGCTTGGCTCTGATCTCCTCTCGTCTGTGCTCCAGGAGGATGGGGAGTGAGTCATCTGCTGTTGTCTTTCCTGTAGGGAGACCAAGGAGGCGACTCAAGGGCTGACCCCTGCCCCAAGTGAGAGCATTCAGTATTTGACTTTCTGGTCTGCCTTGTTTCACTTAAGATAATGACCTCCAGTTCCATCCATGTTGCTGCAAATGACATGATTTCATTTTTTCATGACTAAATAGTATTCCGTTACATATATATGCCACATTTTCTTTATCCAGTCATCCATCAGGGCACTTAGAGTGATTCCATATTTTTGCTAGTGTGAATAGTGCGGTGATAAGTAAAGCATCTTTTTGATATATTGATTTCTTTTCCTTTGGGTAGATACCACTGAAATATTAATAACTGACAGTTGTTTAGCACTTACTAGGTCCCAGGTACTTTGTAGACAGTTTACTTTTTATTAATCTAAGCCTAAGAAACACCCCTGGCACCAACAGTTTCAGCTAAAGGACTGTATCACCATGCCCATTGTACAAGGAGAAACAGTCATATTATGTGGGGAAAAGGCTGGATTTGTCCAGCAGCAGGCTGCTCCTGACCACCAACAGTTGTTAAACCTTTTAAAACTCCCTTCAGTCTGGGTGCGGTGGCTCATGCCTGTAATCCCAGAGGCTGAGGTGGGTGGATAACGAGGTCAGGAGTTCAAGACCAGCCTGGTCAACATGGTGAAACCCCATCTCTACTAAAAATACAAAAATTAGCAGGGCATGGTGGCATGCGCCTGTAATCCCAGCTACTCAGGAGGCTGAGGCAGGAGAATCACATGAATCTGGGAGGCGGAGGTTGCAGTGAGCTGAGATCGCACCACTGCACTCCAGCCTGAGGGACAGAGCAAGACTGTGTCTCAAAAAAAAAAAGAAAAGAAAAAAAAGGAAAAACTCCATTTAGATGTCATCTCATTGGATTCTCATATCCACCCTATGAAATAGGTTCTGTTGTGAGTTCCATTTTACAGATGAGGGCACCAAGGCTTAGAAGAATTTGGAAATGTGCCCAGGTGTCCAGCTAGTAGGTGGAAAAACTGCGACCCACATCCAGGTCCATCTTTGTCCAGCACCCTGGCTGGTGGTCCCCAGGCTGGCCTGTGCTACCACTGCAGCCCATCATTTCCCATCAAGGCCCTCACCTCACCCTCCTCCACCTCTCCCTCCTCCTCCTGCCTCAGCTCACATTGTATTCTGGATGAACAGTGTTCCCTGGAGTTGTGAAACCCAGAGACCCAGCTCATTTCAATCCCCAGGGCGGGAACCTTACTCCTTCGAGGGCCCTGTGGGTGACTCAAGTCTCCCTGTCCTCCTGTTGCATGGCAATGGCTCACCCAACCCCATTCCTCCCTGGCCACCAGCATCACCCTGCCTGTCCCCTCTTCCGCGTCACCCAGACCTGTCACTGTGGGAAGGTGCTCAGTGTCCCCAGCAAGCCCCTCCCCTTGGCATGCCCACTGTCTCTCAGGCTTTCCTTGCCTCTCCTTTCCCCAGCTCAGGCCCTGGTCCCCACTCCAGCACTGGGCAATGAGAAATGGAAGAGAGGTAGTCAGCTGCAGGGAAGATGGGGCTTTCGGCCCTGGGTGTCCTCAGCTCTGCTTTCCCTCCCATCCGCCTCAAAGGAAGCCAACACTCAAGTGGTAGAACTGGAGGATCACAGAGGACAGGCCTCCAAGTCCCATGCAGTACTACAAATTAGGAAGCCGACCCCAGCCCACCCACACAAGGCGCTCTGGCAGGGGTGGGTGCAAGGAGCTCAGCCACTCAGCTCCTGTTTTCTCCCATGGGAACAACCAAGCAACTGGAAAAACCACTGGGCAGCCTTAGCCAGCCACGACCTTGGAGAAACCCTGACAGTCTATCTGAATAATAGGGCCTCTATTGGATAGATCGTTACTGGATTAAGGGGGGTCTTTTTAAGTAACGGTGCATCCTGTTAGAGAAATAAGGTGTCCTGTTGGGATAATAGGGAATCCTTTGGAGCAACAGAACATCCCATCAGTCTAAAAAATGCTCTGTTAGAAAACCAGGGCTCATGCCTGTAATCCCAGCACTTTAAGGCCAAGGCAGGTAGATCACCTGAGGTCAGGAGTTTGAGACCAGCCTGGCCAACATGGTGAAACCTGTCTCACTAAAAATACAAAAATTATCCAGGTGTAGTGGCACGTGCCTGTAGTCCCAGCTGCTAGGGAGGCTGAGGCAGGATAATCGCTTGAACCTGGGAGGCGGAGATTGCAGTGAGTTGAGATCATACCATTGCACTCCAGCCTGGGCAACAAGAGTGAAACTCCATCTCAAAAAAAAAGAAAACCAGGGCATCGTAATTATAAGACCACAGTACCATGGATTCCTGTGGAACTCAAAGGGCTTCTAAATGGAGTAGCAAGGTGCCAGTTGGAATAATGGGGCATCCTGTTATAGTAACAGAATCCTGCTGGAGTAACAGGGAGTCTTTTTGGAGTGCATATAGTTGGCATCATGAATAGGCCTCCTGTGAGAATCCTGAGCCTCTCCCTAGTATCACAAGGGGTCTTTTTAGAGTGGCTGGGCATCTTGTAGGAGTGTGGGAGGACTGGAGAAGCAGCAGGGAGTGCACTCTGGGAATGCTGTCTGCTGCTGGATGGGGATGCTGAGGGTAGCTGCAAGGCCTCAGGCACCTCTGTTCCTCCAGTGCGCAGCCCCAAGCTGAGGCCAGAGCAGCAGCACTGACTGAGGGAAATATGTGAGCGTGGCAAGAGAGCCCAGAGTCCCTGCTGGGGCTGGCCCCTGCTGGCTTGCTGGAAACGCGGGTGCCATGCCCAGGTAGCAGGCTGGAGTGAGGGGGCCTCACGGCCATGGGATGGAGCAGGGTGATGAGGGCTTACCTGTGGCCTCCCGGAGTGACAGGGTCTCGTAGCCATCCATCCACTGGTAGGCAGGGAAGTGGTAGATACGGCCGTTGGGGGCACAGATCTGCACGTAGTTGCAGTACCAAGGGTCTTTGGGGAAGAAGGAATAGCGTTCTTTGTGAAGGCGGATGATGATGAGTTCCCCCAGGTCCTGCGGGCACTGCACGGTGTACTGGTCCACCTAGGCAGGATGCAGGGCTGGCTGAGTGGGCAGGTTTCTACCTGGCTCCCAGGCTGCCCACCCCGCTGGCCCCTCACCCAGGCCCTGCTCATGCTGCGCAATGCTCACCTCCCTGGACTGATGGAGAGGCAGGATATTGACCTGATTGTTGAGCTTCCTTCTGACTCCTCGGGCTTGGGGGTCTCCTACTGGGTCCCTCTAACCAAGGCCGCCTGTGTAGGACTCCAGCCCCTCCCTCTCTCCATCCCCAGCTCCTGTCTTCTCCCATCCCCTCTCCAGGCACCCGAGGTTGCAGGAACCCTTCAGACCCCTGGGAACTTGGCTACCACACTACAGTTTTTGAGTGGGGAGAGGTGGCGGTCCAGCCGGCCCCTTCTCCCATTCATCAGTGACGATGCAGATATTCAGAATGACCACACAGATAGAGTGATCTATTAAGGTCACATAGCAGCAGGTAGCTGGGCCTGACTCAAAATCAGGTCTCAGGGCCTACAGAGCGTGCCTTCCATGAGACAGGCTGGTTTGATGCCATTTTAAGCCACAGTTATGATGCAACTGAACTTAGGAAGAGTGAGTAAGAATGGAAGAGAGACGGATGAGGGGAGGGGAAAGACAGAAGAAAAGGGAGAAGAACGAAAGCAGGTAGAGAGGATTGAGAGAAGAGGGATGCAGGATGGGCAGAGACAGGGAGAGAGGGCTGAGGGAGAGGGAGAGAAGAAAAGGACGGGGAGGGAGCTGAGGAATGGCTGAAAGGGATAGCAATGAGGGAGCAGGATGGAAAAGGATGGCGCAGAGACCTGGGAGGTGTGTGACTGTGTGACGGGCTGGGAGCCAGCTCTGGGCAAGGCGTCTAGAGCCACCTGCCCACTGCCTTCAGAGCTCTGCATCTGCTCTCCAGCCTCTTCTGGCCAAGCTCAGCTCACCTGGCTCCCCCTACACACCTCCACCCCTCTCAGCTCCCCCCAACACACACACTCACGCACACACACACACGCACGCACGTACTTACCGCCCCGGTTGCAAAGTCTCTCCCAAAGTGATTCAACAGCTGCTTATGGCTCTCTCCTTGGGTCCCCACAATGGTCAGTGAGATGGAGTCCAGTGTTCCTGACAGGAGGTCGGTGCCTGTGGCCACCTTGACTTTGTAGGTGGCCATGGCTGATCTTCAGGAGGCAAGAGGGACACTCAGTCCTGGACACCGTGGAGGGGCCACACAGAGACCCAAGGCAGGCAAGGGAAGCCAGGCACAGAGTGGAGTGGACAGGGCCAGCCTCCAAGGTAGAGTGGTGAGGTGGCGAGTTGGGGTGACTGGGCCTGCGGCCAAATCCTGGAAAAGCTGCTGCCCTTGGCGGCCGGGATGCGTGCTGGGAAGGCCCAGGCAGGGCCCAGCTGGTGGCAAGTGAGCAGGTTTCTGGGCTCTGAGCCCTCTGGGAGCTGGCAGGGAGGAAAAGCAGGCAGGGCACTGGGCCTGCCTCTGAAAGGGCGGATGGAAGACGCCCCGATGAAGGCGCCTTCAGGGTGGGGGAGCCAGTCCAGCCTGAGCCAGGGCCCCAGGGAAGTTGGGGGAAGGGGCAGGGTGGGGCCCCAGATCTTTATCAGACTAATAAGCTCTTTCCTCCTGCCAGTCCCCATTGACTGCAGTGCCAGGAACCCCTGCTAAGCAGGGCCCTGGGCAGTGTGACCTGCATTGGTTCTGAGGCTACTGGTGGGCGGGGCAGAGAAGGGGGAGGGGCACTAACTTGCTGCACAGCCGGCTGGCTGCCCGGCCATTCCTCCTGGGAATGGGGCAGGTGGTAGCGGCAGTGAGAAAGCCGGCCCATCCTTCTGCCGCAGGGCCCAGAGGCTGTGACAGGAAGGGTGGGAGGTGTTGAAGCTAGGGCTCTGGGACCACATGGGTGCAGAGAGACCTAGAGACACTGCGGGGAGGAATGATCAGAGTAGGAGGAGGAGATCTGTTGCTTCCTGCGGGGCCAGATCCGCTGGGGAGGGATTGGAGTTGGATACAAAATCAGAAGACAAAAGAAAATTAAAAATTAGAAGACACAGTGAAATCTGGGGCATAAGAATTAAGTTAAATAGCTAGGTGTGATGTCTCACGTCTGTAATCCCAGCACTTTGGGAGGCCAAGGCAGGCGGATCACGAGGTCAAGAGATCGAGACCATCCTGATCAACATGGTGAAACCCCGTCTCTACTAAAAATACAAAAATTAGCCAGGCATGACGGTATGTGCCTGTAGTCCTAGCTACTCAGGAGGCTGAGGCAGGAGAATCACTTGAACTCAGGAGGCAGAGGTTGCAGTGAGCTGAGATTGTGCCACTGCCCTCCAGCCTGGGTAAGAGAGCGAGACTCCATCTCAAAAAAAAAAAAAAGAAGTTAAATAATGGATCAATATGATCAATATTTTGTGGTATAATCATAAAATAGAATTCTACACAGGAATTAAAAAAGAAAAAAGAGGCCGGGCACAGTGGCTCACACCTGTAATCCCAGCACTTTGGGAGGCCGGGCTGGGCAGATCACAAGGTCACGAGATCGAGACCATGGTGAAACCCCGTCTCTACTAAAAAATACAAAAATTAGCTGGGCATGGTGGCACGCACCTGTGGTCCCAGCTACTCAGGAGGCTGAGGCAGGAGAATTGCTTGAACCCAGGAGGCGGAGGTTGCAGTGAGCCAAGATTGCACCACTGCACTCCAGCCTGGTGCCTGGCAACAGAGTAAGACTCTGTCTCAAAAAAAAAAATGAACTGCAATGCAGATGAATCTCACAAAGATTGTATTGAGTGAAGAGACCCGGACGTTAAAGAGGACACGTTCTGTTATTCCATTGATGGGAACTTCCAGAACCAGCAAAACTGAGCCATCCTTAGTTAGACAAGCCCCACTGGTGAGTATCTGGCAGAGAGGGAAGCCATATAGGTTGCTGGAAGTGTTCTTATCTTGATCTGAGGGGCTTATAGGGCACTTAATTTTATAAAGTACATATCCTCACTTCCCTCCCAAAAAAGAATGAAGCTAGGAAGAGGGCCAGAGTCAGGGCTGGGCTCCAGTGGAACTGGGTTTGCTGGGAACCAGATCATTCATTCCTTCCCTCCCTCCCTCCCGCAGATGTGTAGTGAGCATGGCGCCCGGCGTTTTAGGCACTGCAGACACAGAGAAGAAATGAAACGTACATGGAGCTTACCGAATAGCTGGGAAAGAAGTGAAAGCAACAGTAAACGATAATTTGTTCACTACAATTTTGGATACTAAGTGCTCTGAAGAAAATAAGCCTGGAGTCGGTGGGAGGTTGGGATTGGAAACTAGTTTCTGATAGAATCACAGAAGCCAGAGAGCCTTGGGAAAGGGATAAGGTTTTTGGGAGTAAGACGAGGAGCAATGATGAGAGAGGGCCAGAGATATACTTTCCAAAGATAGGATTTGGGACCCAGGGAGAGAGAGTGAAGAGGCAGGCATGTTACTATTCCCTTTTTCTGGTCCTGCCCTCTTTCCTTCTGCCTCCCAGGGGCAGCTTCTGTCAACCAGGAAGCACAACCCTGGTTTCCTCCCTGGTGGCATGCTTCCGTCACCATTGAAGGAAGGTCAGTCAGTGCCTGGGCCAAGTTAGGGCCAGAGGGGGCTGGGATTGTGAGGTGAAGAGAAGGTTCCAGTAGGTTCCTGATTGCATGTGGAATGGGGCTAAGACTGCAATTCAGGTTCAGCTTAGGGACATAGATGTGGCCAGAGTCGGGGATTGAAATGATCTTTTCCAGACCTAAATCTATTCATATCACCCTCTATGCCACCTCCTCCCACCCCTGTTCAAGCCTGGCAGTGGCTCCTCTGCCTTTGGGACAGTGACACCATCCCCTCCCATGGCCCCCAAGGTCTGCCTGATTGGCTTCACCCCTCACATTCGCCTTTGCTGTCTTCCGTCTGGGACCACGTGCCTTTCGTTCATTCATTAGCAGACACTGGCTGAGCCCCTGCTGTGTGTTTAGCACTGTGTCAGGTCCTGGAAATACAATGCGACCGAAGCAAACCCCTGCACTCATGGAGCTTGCCTTCAAGTGGGGAAACAGACAATAGTACCTAATAACCAAATACATTAAATCATATGTTAAATAGTGATATGTGTTGAAGAGAAAAAAGAAAACAGGGAAGGACAAAAGAAGAGGAGTGCCAGGCGCGGGGGCTCACGCCTGTAATCCCAGCAATTTGGGAGGCCGAGGCGGGCAGATCACCTGAGGTCGGGAGTTCGAGACTAGCCTGGCCAACTTGGAGAAACCCCATCCCTACTAAAAATACAAAATTACCTGGTATGGTGGCACATGCCTGGAATCCCAGCTATTTGGGAGGCTGAGGCAGAAGAATCACCTGAACCTGGGAGGCAGAGGTTTTAGTAAGCTAAGATCTTGCCACTGCACTCTGGCCTGGGCAACAAGAGTGAAACTTTGTCTCCAAAACAAACAAACAAAAAGAGGAGCAAATTGTAGATATAGAGTGGCCAGGGAAGGGCTCCTGGCGAAGGGGACTTGTGAGTAAAGACCTGAAGGAAGTGAAGTCAGTTCCTTGCCACCCCAGGGCCTCGGCACATGCTCTTCCCTCTCTACCTCTCCAACCTGTCATGTTTCCTCTTCTTCCTGACCTTAGCTCAATAATTGCTTTTTTGAGGAAGGCCAAATTTCACTATACATGGCTCTCACAGCACTGTAGCTAACATCTTTGATTGATGTCTGTTTTCCCTAATAAATTAGGCTGTCCATAATTGGTTTTGGTTTTGTCCCCAGCTCCTGGTACCTGGGAGTTGCTAGAAACAGTTGAATGGTTTAGTGATAAGGACAAGGTCAGGGCTGGGGATTGAATCGATGATGCCTTTGGAGTTACGATGAAGATCCGAGGAGAGCTGGCTTGGGCTAAAAGTGAGAGAAGGGGCAAGGGGTGGTGTGGGGAGAGGAAGGGGCTGGGTGGGGAGGGAGGGAGGAGGGGAGAGAACGCTGAAGATGAGGGTCATGCCCAGCCCTGGGTGGCAGGGCTGGCTGTCCCGGGTTGCAGACGGGAGCTGTCCAGCTGGATCTCCATCCTGGGCTCTCCCTCCTCAACCACCTTGATGACTCTTGGAGGATGCTGGGAGCCTGAGGATGCAAATCTTAAGATGCAAATTCCATGCAAATTATCCCAGCCTCCTGCTTTCTAGTCTTTCCCCTTTGCCCTGTGTCCCCAGGGGGCTGCTGAGGCTTGGTGAGAAGCAGGACAGTGGAGTGGTCAAACTGAGTCATAGCCCACTACCAAGAGGTGTCCCCTACCCAAATCCCAGGGTGAGCCTGGGTTTGCTTAGGGCTCCAGTCTGGAGTGGGAATTAGGTTCCTGAGGGAGATGGAGATAAAGGCAGGGATGCTGAGGATGTGAATGTGGCTGGGGCAGGGACAGAAACGGGATGAGGCATGAGGATGTAGATGGGGCACTCCCCACTTATGACCAAAACGTAGACGCCTGACTCTTGGTAGGTGCTCATTGGGCTGAAGAACTGGTTTTCCTGGACCAGGGGAGGGACCCAGCAAGCAGGAGAGGTTCCTGGGAAGGATTCACACTTGCTGGGGTGGCTCACTAGGGTCCACCCCACACAGGAAGCTGAGTTCTCACTGCTGGGGCAGCCCCTATTCCTGCCCCCATCCCAAGCCCTTCAAGGCAAGGAGCCACTAACTCCTGGGGACCCACTCTCCTAAGACAAAAAATCAAATCAGGCCATTCCCCTGCTTAAAGTTCACCAGAGCTTAAAATGATGTTGTCCTTAGAAACAAATCCAAGGGCCGGGTGTGGTGGCTCACGCCTGTAATCTGAGCGCTTTGGGAAGCCAAGGCGGGTGGATCAGGAGATCGGGAGTTTGAGGCCAGACTGACCAACATGGTGAAACCCCATCTCAATGAACAATACAAAAATTAGCCAGGTGTGGTGGCTAATGCCTGTAACCTCAGCTACTCAGGATGCTGAGGCAGGAGAATCACTGGAACCCAGGAGGTGGAGATTGCAGTGAGCTGAGAGATCGCACCACTGTACTCCAGCCTGAATGGTAGAGTGATGCTCTGTCTCAAAACAAACAAACAAGAAACAAATCCAAGGACTTATCATGGCTACAGGACCATGCATGCCCCGACATTTTTCCAGCCACTCTGGCCTCCTCTTTGTACCCAGAACACGTGTCCTTCAGGATCCTTGCATTTGCCCCTCCTGGGCTTGTAACACCCTTCCCCCAAGCTGTTCAAGCTGTTTCAGGAGTGGTTTTGTTTGTTTGTTTGTTGTTTTGAGACTGTCACTCTGTTGCCCAGGCTGCAACCTCCACCTCTCTGGCTCAAGCGATCCTCCCACCTCGCCCTGTAACTGGGACCACAGGCGTACTCCACCCGGCTCATTTTTTGTATCTTTTGGTAGAGATGGGATTTTGCCATGTTGCCGGGGCTGGTCTCAAACTCCTGAGCTCAAGCGATTTGCCCATCTCAGCCTCCCAAACTGCTGGGATTGCAGGCATGAGCCGCTGTGGCCAACCTAAAGAATGTATTGTTCATATCATCCAGCGTCACCTCCTCAGAGTCCCTCCCTGACCACCCTCGTGTTTCCCCACCCTCCGCCCTCCATCATGCTACCCTGCCATTGGTTGTATCTCCAACTGCACTTGCCACCACCTGAAAGGATCTTTGTCTGTTTATTGATGCATGTATTGTGTCTCTCCACCACCCGTAAACTGTAAAAGAAGGGGTTGTGCCTGGGGAGCTCACAGCTGCTTCCCCAAAATCTAGAACAGCCTCTAGTTAGACAAAAGCCATGAAGCAAAGCGATCCTAGGAAGGGGCTTCTCAGGTCTTCCCTCTCCTGGATCTGGCTGGGGAAGGAGGCTGCTGTGCTTCGCATTGGACCGGGTGGCCTTTCAGACTCACCAAAAAGCAGTGGAGGGCAGAGTGCAAGCTGTGGGGCGCTCCCAGCCTCACAGGGCTCCAGTAGCTTGACGTGAGCCTCCTCCCCATGTCCTGTCCCCAGAGTCAGCGCAGGGCAACCTAAGCAGGTGTGTCTGCCCAATAAATCTCTCTTCAAGATGCCTTTCTGGGAAACCAGTTTCCAATGATCCTCCCTGGTCCCTCCCTCTCCGGCTCGGGGGCATTTTTTAGGATAGGTATGCCTTCTAATGCTACCTTTGTGGAGGCCCAAGGAATGTTCATCCTCTTGGGGGACAGGGTGCCTGAGTATGCCCAGGCCCTTTTTGCTGCTGCTTCCAAGCCGGATATCAAAGGGGTCTGCATTGCGCACCCAGCCTCAGTCTCACCCCTGGTGGCCACAAGGGGGCACCGCTGGGTGTTTCTTAGTCCTTAGTCCTTTCTTAGTGCAGTGAACAAAACTGGTGATTTGGGATAAGTCCTTAGCTTGCAATCTGCACATGAGATATCCCCAGACACACCTCTTTATGCGCAATGATATGAGGATCCTCTTCTCGCATGATCACAGGTGCAGAAAGTTAAAATCCAACAGTCAAAGGCAGCCTAACCCACCCCACACACAAGGAGCAAAGGGAGAAGGTTTGGTTGAACAGGGAGATTCTTGGGCTGGGATGTGAGGGGACAGTTGACTGCCCCAAAATTTCAGTATACCAGGGCTTTGGGATGGCAGTTGAGTTAGGGAGGAAATTCGGCTAGGTGCGGAGCTCTTTGTGCAGCTGCGATTGTACTGCAGGCACGTGTTATTTTCTTAGATGACGGCAGCCCCAGCCAGGGCAGCCTGTGGATCCCCACTGAGCGCAGAAACGAACACTGACCATGGTCTACACCGGGACTGAGACGCACTGCAGCCAGTCAGAGCCCCCAGCCACATGAAGCTCTGGGTGAGTCACTGGTTATGCTGATGCTAAAACCATCTGATCCCCCTGCCACTGACCCCACAGGGATGGGGGGGGGCAGTTGGCCTGTCATTGCCCAAAGACGCTGTGATCTGGCCAGAGAGAGGCCATGACTGGGATTGGGTCAGGCACAGAATTTGACTCAGGTAGCAGTGGAAGGAAGGAAGGTGGGCTGGATCTGAGGTCTGGGGAAGCAGAAAACTCATGTGTTGGGTTGCTGTGGATTGAGAAGACCGGGAAGTCTGACTTGAGGGCTGCACAGGTCTCTATGTTTAAGGTCTGTGGGGCTGAAAATCAGACACCCCAGATTGCCAGCCACGTGGTCAGGATCGACTATACCACAGTAACAACCCCCAAATTCCAGTGGCTTCACCTGACAAGTTTATTTCTCACCCAGTCCATGGCTGGCCCAGGCAGTGGGAGCCTCTTCTCCAGTCCCTTGGACACATCAGCAAGTGCCATCGCAACACGTGCTTCCGGAAGGGAGAGGCAGAGAGAAGGAAATCAGGAGTCTCTGTACCGGCCTGGAGATGACCCACATCCCTTCTGCTCCCAACTCAGCCAAAATTCATCTCGTGACTCCACCCATCCACAAGAGGGCCAGAGGCTGAGTCTTCCAAGTCCAGGAGGAGAGCTGGATTTCAGTGACAACACTAATTACCCAGACTCTGAGGCTTTACAAAATACTTACTATTCCACTTCTTAGTCCCCTGAATCCAGACGTTCCTTCACCTCCTGATGACGCTCTCTGGGAGGTGAAGGCAGGAATATATGGCTTGACTGAATGGTGGGTTGAGCCGGAACTCTTCTGTCCCCAGAGTAGATAATCCCTGGATTCCTGTCTCCAGAAAAGATGACCCCCGGATCCACTGCTGTTCCCCCACTACACCCCCCCACCCTCACCCACCCCTACACACACACATCAAAGCAGCCAAATATTTTTTTTTTATTGAATTCACTGGGCTCAAGGACAAAAAGGAAAAAAAATGGAATGAAAGTGGAGTAGAACAAAAGCTTGAGAGAGATCCATCCCCACAAACACCCCAGGCCAAGGAACCTGTCTCTAAGAATAGCAGTTAGAGGTCCAGAAAAGCTGCATTCTGATTCTTCCCCTCTCCTTAAAGGTGCTGGGGACAAAGGGAAGCACATGTCAGACTCAGGCACACAGCCTTTCTGTGCCGTTTCCTGGATTTTCCAGAGAAGGAAGCTGGGTTGACTGGCCCTAGGCTTGCAGGAAAGGGAAAGTGAAAAGGCATGGTAGGAGAAGGAGTTTGGGGATGGGGGAGGATGAAGGAGAAAAGCTCAGGAACCCAAGCTGGGCATTCCAAAAGGCTGGAACAAGAGGCTGCCCAAAGTACAGCAAGAAGTGAAGCAGTTCCTTGCTTTCGGAGGGGCTGCTGTGCACTGGACTTTAGTCAATGGCTCGTAACCCTGGACGCTGCTGTCCTGGCCTCTCACAGCTCAGGGCGTAGTTTGTATGATGTCAGAGCCATCTTGGCTGCAAAGGTCCCCACGTGCAGACGAGAAGGTTCAGGCGAACTGAGAACAGGGAGAATGGAAGGGTCTGGAGGACCCTAAGGAACTGTTCCTCCTCATGCTTGCACCTTTCTTTCTTCTTGGGTGGTATTTGGGGGTGGTTAGATGGAGACGCTGTTCTCGATGAAGGGAGGGTCCAGGTAGGTGTAGGGCAGCTCAAGGCCCTGGTTCCGCTCCTGGATGTCCCTCGAGATCTGGGCCAGGCGGCTCTGGAAGGCAGCGATGCTTCGCCTTGGGCCCTCCTCTGTGAAGTGCTCATCCGGGTAGGTGCCCAGGGGCCTCTGGGAGGAAATCAGGCAAGAGATCAGGATGACATTCAAGATGGGGTGGGGAATAATGAAGGACCACATGTAACAGCAAATACCGTCAAGTTGCAGCCATTGTAAACACTTGCCCTTCAAACTAGGGCCCCAAACTACCACTCCACACATCCTGACACAAACGGCCCCCCAGCACCCAAACCCCAAACAGAGTAGGGGACACAACGTGATTTAGGAGCCAGGCAACCCAAATTCAGTGCTGCCTCTGCTGGCAAGCCTCTGCCTGTTACTTTGACTCAGAGACGCAATTCCTGCATCTGAAAATGGATGGGTTGAACTAGAAAAAAATGTTTTTTGAGGCAGGGTGTCACTCTGTTGCCCAGGCTGGAGTAGTGGTGTGATCATAGCCACTGCAGCCTCAAACTCCTGGGCTCAAGTGATCCTCCCACCTTGGCCTCCCAAAGCACCAGGATTACAGGCATGAGTCACTGCGCCTGGCCTACGAAACCTTTAAAAGTCCCTTTCATACCTGATCCAACTGCTCTGTGAACTAAAAGAATACAACCACATTTCTCATACAGCTGAGATCAACATAAACACCGTCCTGCAAATATACCAAGAATATACCTACTACCTCACAATTTCACAAAATTCAACTCCTGAAAACAACCAGCATCCTGGTTCTTTTTTTTTTAAAGATGGGGTTTCACCATATTGGTCAGGCTGGTCTCCAACTCCTGACCTCAGGTGATCCGCCCACCTCAGCCTCCCAAAGTGCTGGGATTACAGGCGTGAGCCACCGCACCTGGCTGCATCCTGGTTCTAAGGCATCTTCACAATCAACCATGGTGATGGAACTTTCACCAACACAATCACCGTCATCCCACACTGCCACACTTTATAGCTTGGGCAACCACAATCAAGAAATATCACAGTGAACTCCAGTCACTGCTATCCTGTGTACAGGACTGTCCCTCCCCCACAATCACATCATGCAACCAGCTCATCACAACAACGCAGAGGCCCAGCCTCCTAACCAGCACACACTTCCCACTTAATTGAACCTTCATATAACGTAACTGTTGCCAATACTACTGATCTTTAACAAATTCCTTTTCTTGTTTTATTGCATTGGTGAAGGCCTCTAAATCAATGTTAAATAGCAGCAGTAACAGTGGGCATTATTTTCCTTTCTCTGACTTTAATGAATAGACATCTATGGTCTCACCATAAATATAGTGTTTTCTGAAGTACACTTTTTTTTTTTTTTTTTTTTTTTTGGGAGATGGAGTCTCACTCCATCACCCAGACTGGGGTGCAATGACGTGATCTTTGCTCACTGCAACCTCTGCCTCCCAGGTTCAAGTGATTATCCTACCTCAGCTTCCCGAGTAGCTGGGATTATAGGCAGCTGCCACCATGCCTGGATGCTTTTTGTATTTTTAGTAGAGACGGGGTTTTACCATGTTGGCCAGGCTGGTCTTGAACTCCCTCAGGTGATCCACCTGCCTTGGCCTCCCAAAGTGCTGGGATTACAGACGTGAGCCACCGTGTGCAGCCCGAAGTATACTTCTAATCAAAACTCGTTAAGGAGGTTTCATTTTACAATGAGTATTAGTAATAGCTGTTCACATTCATCAAATGCTTTTACAGCATATAGGGAGATAATTATATGGTATGCCTCTTTATTGACATAATGAATTATATGGCTAGATTTCATAAGGTTGAGCCAACCTTTCATTCCTAGAATAAATTAGACTTTGTCATGGTGTATTATTGTTTTATTATTCACTATTGGCCTTCATTGGCTGCTATATTTTTAAGATTGTTGTAGCTAAGTGGAATGAGGTTCCTTTTTTTTTTTTTTTTTTTTGAGACGGAGTTTCACTCATGTTA